ATAACATAAGATAAGATAAGATAAGATAAGATAATATAAGATAATATAATATAATATAATAAAATATAGTACAATACAATATAATATCATATTATGTCATAAAGTAAATAGTATCAGATGGTATCACATATCATAATAGAGTACAATGAAGTATAATAGAGTACAATACAGTATAATATAGTATAACATGGTATAATATAGTATAATACTGTTTAATATAGTATAATAATATGGTATAATATAATATAATATAATATGGACCAAATCACTGCGTGGCCACAAGCGCTGAGTCAACCGGGCAGACGTGCAGGGCTAGCCGAGCAGCTGGATTAGTCTGAAAGCCTGCCATCGCAGAGTAGACGAGCTCGAACACCGAGCTCACCACTACGAAGACATCCAACCTGAGAGACTTGAGTGCTCCGGGACTGGTACCCTCTCTCTTGCCCAGAATGGTTCAACTCCCTCTGAGGCCGTGGGTCTGTTTGCCATTCCCAGTGGCAGATTCCAAAGCCACGGCCGCGAGCAAAAAAAGCTGGTAAATCCATCAGCGCAGAGCCGGAGCACCACCTCCACAAAGAAGAGGATCGCATAGGCCACCTGATAGCCAACTGTGAGTGTCTCATGCCTCTGGGTGTCCACATGCTCTGTGCGTTCTCTTCAAAGTTGAGGGAGGTATCGAGCCAAAGGTTATACATAGAACAACTGCCCCCCCTCGCGTGGACTTCACCCCTGGAAAGTTCCATGATCACCCCAAGACGTCCAGGGGATGCGACATGAGAGGCTGCGGCAACCCGGAAGCCGAAAAGAGCTAGCCGGAGCACTCAACAACATCGTCTGGCGGGCACCTGAAGCTGCCGTCTATATTGAAGGCCCTCCCCAAAGCATTGGTGCCTGCAGCACCGTGAAGACGGTGGGCACCCCATGGACAAAGTGTTCAGCCATCCAGGCCGTCTGCACACCCAACACGATGGTGTTGGAAACCTGGGTCCAAAATTGCAGGGACACAACAGCCTAACTCCAGCTCGATGAGTTCTCTGTAGGGCTTTGCCTCACATGACACCCAAACGGCATCCCCAAATTTCTACCCAAAAAGCTGGTGGATTTTGCCCTGGAATCGCGGCAACAACCATGCACATCTATATTATATAAGCCTTGAAGGCCGGATTTTCCTCAAAAACCAACGACGATCAATTCGGGATGTCTGCGATTCTGCAAGCTGCGAAACCCGCGCCCTCAACTGAAAGCATCCCAAGGAACGATCACGACGGCAAAGAAGGCTTCGAAGCCCCAGGCGTGCACAAACTGTTGCAGTTTGGTCTCCGGCGGATGGTGCGACGGCGGCTTGTGCCTGTCGAAGAGCATTGCCGGTCAGCCAATTCTTCGATAGTGTCCCATGTCTGTGGCATTTGGGGAACAGGGTTTCAGCTTGGTCTTCAAAAGATTGGACGGGGGAGATCCTGCGAAGCCCCAGCAACGCCAAAACAGGAAATGAAAAATAGGGCCGAACTGTCTGGATGCTGTGCTTTCTCCGGCGGGCGGTTGTTGTCCGCTGGCTTGTCGCCCTGCCTCGGCAGGGGATCTTGCTCAAAGCCCAAAACCCGCCGCAACTCTGCATGCTTGACAACAAAAACCTGAAACAAGCTTTGTCCTCATTATTGAATCAACATGGCTGTATGAGTAATGAATTAACCAGCTAATTACTTTGTTAGCTAATAAATGAAGTATTTTCCGAATGAGTTAATGTTTCATACATTCATTCATTCGTTCGTTCATTCGTTCTTTCACTCCATCAACCACCCATTCGCGGATGCATGCATGCATGCATGCATTCATATATTTTTGTAAGTATATAGACCTATATATATATACATATCTATCTATCTATCTATCTTTCTTTCTTTCTATGTATCTATCTATCTATCTATCTATCCATCTATCTATCTATCTATCTATCTATCTATCTCTCTATATGGATATATATATATGTATATATATATATATGGGTATATGGATATACATATATATATATCATATATCCATATATATATATATCCATGTATCCATCCATATATATATATATACAAACAACTACTTTGTTTCTGCATTTCACGTGTGTCTGTGTGTATGCGTATGTATATATATATATATACACGTACATACATACTTGTATTGTTGCCTGCTTGATTGTCTAACCATCAGTATTTTGTATGTGTTTGTTTGCATGTGAATCTCTATCCGACTTCTGTATGTACGGATCGTAAGCCTAAACCCTAAACGCTGAACTTTAAACCCTAAAGCCGTCGCTGAGGGCAACCGCCACTGTGGAGCCTGAAGCGACGCGAGCTTCGCGAGAGGCAGAAAAAACGCACGCGGCGCCTAGGTCAAGTTAGGCGACTGGCACCATGCCTGCCGGCCCCGCGGGCGCCTCCCACAGTGTGGGTATAAAGATGATACCTTAAACCCGGGGTTTTGCTGGCACGCCCTTTCCACAAGGGCTGCACCCCCCAATCCTTCACGAGTTGGAGCCGGCCCTGTTCCTGACGCTGGACCCCCCAACCCGTCATGAGTTGAAGCCTGCCCCGTTGACGAAGGTTGCACCCCCCGGCTGCACCCCCCCAACCCTTCACTACTTAAAGTCGGCCTCCTTCTTTACAATGGTTGGACCCCCCAACCCTTCACGAGTTGACGCAGCCGGCAACAGTGGCCGAAAATCTGGAAATTCAAAAGGGGCTTGGGGTTGGCTTCCCGAAGAGAAGCAAGCAGCTTTGCAGAATCGACCATTTTGGGGCTTTCGTGGGGTCCCTGCAATTGAGCGAGCCGGCCCCCCCTTCTTGACAAGGGTTGAGCCCCCAACCCTTTATGAGTTGGAGCAGCCTGCCCTCTTGACAAGGGCTTTGCCCCCCCATCCCTTCACGAGTTGGAGCTGGCTGCGCTCTTGACAACGGTTGCACGCCCCAACCCTTCACGACTTAAAATCGGCCTCCTTCTTGGCCTTTGGTTGGACCCCCTAACCCTTCACGAGTTGAAGCAGGCAACAGTGGTCACAAATCCGGAAATTCAACGGGGCTTGTGTTTGGCTTCCGGAAGAGAAGCGGCCTTGCAAAATCGACCATTTGGGACCAGGGTTGGACCCCCCAACCTTTCACGAGTTGTAGCAGCCTGCCCTCTTGACAAAGGTTTTGCCCCCCAACCCTTCACGAGTTGGAGCCGGCTCCCCCTTGACAAGAGTTGCACCTCCCCGACCTCCTCACAGAAAGCCCATATTACATTGCTTCTTCCGGACAGCCTTTCGGAAAGCCTACAGGGAGTGCCCCTTCAGAAGGCTGCCAAGCCAAGGCCCATAGTGGCCATGATTCGAACCAGCATAGCCTCACAGAAAACCAATAGTGCATTGTTGCTTCCGGTATCCACCAGGACAGCCTTTCAAAAAGACTACATGGAGTGCCCTTCAGAAGGCTGGCAATCCAAGACCCATGGTGGCCACAATTCCCGCCAGCATAGCCTCACAGAAAGCCCATAATGCATTGTTTCTTCCGGCACCCACCAGGACAGCCTTGCAGAAAGCCCACATGGAATGAACTTTATGCTTGTGTCTGTTTGTGGCAACCGCCGCCGGCACAAAGCAGACTGCCATTTCTGGTACCCGCTGGAAATAAAGTCACAGAAGCAAACACACTGTTTTTTGTCTCCGCTTGGGGGGTACCTTCTCGCTGTTCTTTACCAGCAGGCTATCATTCATGAATCCCATTTCGGCCCCTGCTTGGGCCCCGTTGAAGTCAACGACCATCGTCGGCGATGCCAAAGCCACCGCTGTTGAACTTAGGGTGGTCTTGAGGTGGGCGGTCTGCTACGCACAGGCGCGAGCGGCCTGGGTGTGCATACACCAGTGAGCACCCATGATTCTACCACACCCTAAACCCTGAATCCTGAACCCTATGCCCTAAACACTCTACCATATGATTTTAAACCTTACTTCATTCGTTGAATATGGTTTCTCGGTGCCGTTGTCGCCAAATTCAACGAAGAAATCGCCAAATTCAACGAAGAAACAAAACACACTCAACGAAGGCCGGCCCTTCGTTGTTTTTGGCGATTTCTTCTTTGAATATGGCTTTTTTCCGCCAATTCAAAGCCTATAGGGTTCAGGGTTTAGGGTTCAGGGCTCTCAAGGTTTAGGTTTCAGGGCCTCGGGTTCAAGGTTTAGCGTTCAGGGTCTAGGGTTCAGGGTTTAGGATTCAGGGCCGAGGGTTCGTATCATACGGTTTAAAGGAAATTCTGGGGTTGCATCATAGAGTTAAAGCGTTGTTACAATTCCCCGACTAGGGTGTAAAGCTTAAGTTCTAGATCCATGTAGGTTTTAGCGTTTAGGATCTAAGCTCTAGGACTAATCCGCCGACCCCTGCGGGGGCGGCGCTCAGAAGTTGTGTTACCTGCTCGGTTTTCGGCTTTCCTTACTTCATGCGGGATTTCGCTGCACGAGGTTGAAGCGAGTACTTCCGTTGCGGGGGTTCGGTGCAGGGGGGGTGTGTGGCCTTGCTCCCGGCTTCTACCTGCTCTGCCCGCCCGGGCGCAGCCCCTATATGGCTTTTCAATGTTGAGGGTTCCTGGGTGGGTGGGTATTTTTGTAAGATCGAAATAGTGAGCTCGGCTAGAGACTGCTCGATCCGGGCCTGCTGAACCCTAAACCCCAGCCCCTGGCTTATTTTCTGAGGCCAAAGGTCCGCTTAACTCGGCGGCTGCCGGGCTTGGGCTGGTAGGACAGCTCCTGGGAGCTTGTTAGAAGCGCCCATTTTAGGCTTTAGGGTTTAGGGTTTACGGCCTATAGGATTCAGGGTTCACGGTTCGGGGGTTGGGGTCAGGGCTCGGGGTTTAGAGCTCGGGTTCTGGGGCTCGGGGTTGCATGTTGTCAAGGCACCTTTGCTGGTTCAGTGTACATGACAGAAAGGCTTGGATAAATCCGTGTGACAGTTCAGGCTCCCAGGGTGGGCTCGGGTTTTGCTTCAGAGTTTGGGGTTTCGGGAGAAGACAAGCTGTTGGACAAAGGTCGACGGGTCTCTGCAGCTTGGGAGTGTGTGTGGTGCAACTTGAGTTTATATTGAATGGCTCACTGACTCACCACTTCTTCAAGAAGGGCAATCAGGAACGGTCACGAGAGTATGAGCAAGGAGGTTTTGGGGCCTCGGAAAAGGGCTCGAACCCTGAAGGCCTCAATGGACGGGAGTCACGGCTTCGGGCATGGGGAGAAACCTTTTTGCGTTGTAGCTTCCGGCTCCGCAACAGCTCTAGAGGCTGCAGGTTCGAGGGATCTGCCTGACGTGGGATTTCACCAGAATGAAGCGTAGGATAACCGCACATAAAGGAACTTATGACCTACTTGCTAGGCCTCCAAAACCAACAAGTATCAACCCTAAATATTCAGATTAAATCTTGAACCCTCCACCCACTCCTTCGCCAGCTCGTAGGAATCGCCTCCCTCCTCTCCGAACCGGGAATAAGTGATTCCCTACGTTGTGGGAGGGGCAGTACCCGTAGCTAGAACGATCTCAATCTATACATAACTAACATATGTATGCGCAGATATATGTATATATACACACATGCATTATACACATACATGTACACTTTCTCATATGCAGCGGCATGTACATGCGCATATCCATATTAACATGTATGCATGCATGTGTGCATACATGTATGTTTGTTTGTATGTAGCATGCATGTATGTGTGTATGTATGTACGTATGCATGTATGTATGTTTATATTATGTATGTACATATGTATGTATGTATGTATGTATGTATGTATGTATGTATGTACTGATGTATGTGTATAGATTGTATACATGTACACACACATGTGTATGTATATATATATATGTGTATGAGTATGTGCCTGGTTATTTGCTTCTTTAACTATCTATCTATCTATCTATCTATCTGTCTATCTATCTATCCATATACATGTACACATATATATATAT